GGTTAAGAATAAAATAATTTAACCCGCAAGAACTGTCAGTTCTTTATCTAAATCTTACATAAAGCATCTTTGAGATATCTCTTATGTGTATCTTGTAAGACTTCCAACTAAACCCGCAAAACAAATGGCTGCATCTTTTACCACTCGCCTGCTGCACCCCAGCAGTAATTTCAGATGAATTATTTGAACTTGACTTTGATATCTCGCCTATACCGTACGTGAATATAGACGTATAGACTTTAGGCATCACATCACGACGTCAAGACATTTTTACCCGACATTACGACATTTTTACGCGACATTACGTGTGAAAATATCGTATTGTCGAGTGAAAATGTATTGATGTTGGGTTGTCGTTGTGTCGGGTTGAAATGTCGTGATGTTGGGTTGTCGCGTAACGACATGATAACAATCTTTCAACTTAGCTGTAGAGCAACCAAACTTTAATTACATGTACATTGGCAATAGAGAAATATATAACGACAATTCTTGTCGATTTAGATTAATATTTCATAATTTTGATTGTTATTGGGTTGGTGCAATTTAGCAAGACGGTAAGTAAAGTAGCCTAAACATAGATATTTAAAAATCCCCACTCAACAACAGTCCAACAATAGACACAGGTAGAAATGGGTGGTGATTTATTGATCTTCATAACGTTTCGGGTTAAAATACCAGGAAACTATCTATCAATATCTACTCTCTCCGCTGGCATCATTGATCCAGCATAGAGACACAGATCTACCGGTCGGTCTAACCCCTTATTCTCTTTTAAGGGAGTTATAGTAACATTGATCGCAAATTAGGCTACAATCAAAATAGTAAGATATTTCAGCCAGGAAAGAAACACCAATGTTGAAACATGGACCAATCCATTGTAATATCTAAAGAATTTTCTAATAAGCAATTTGCCTTCATAGTAAAAACTGGGTAGTGTATATTAATGATATGTTTGTTTATCTATGTGGTTTCTTTCCATTTGTTTACTTTGTGCTAAATTTGAACCGTAACAATTAACGTTCAACATATTTTCTATTAGATTTTATAATATTGATTGATGGATTCGTTGTTAGCAAATTATTTCATACCGCTCTGTAGTGTTTTGTCAATACAGAAATTTAATATACGTTCTGTTTTGAATAGATGGATATACATTTGTTAATCAATGCCTTTCTGAGACCAGAGTACCAGTAATGGTTTTGGTACAGTTAAGTAAAGAGACCATTTATTGTTTTATTCTGTTTGTTGAGATTTTAGTATGTGCATACTAAAACATTCGTCATTTCATGAATAAAATAAAAGTTGTTAATGGCATTACAAAAATCATTCAGTAAATGGACATGAATATGGTTATCTATCTACCCTTATAAAAACGAAGGCGAAACGATTGGTTTGTAAACTGTTTTCTGATTGGTTCGTAGACTATAACTACATTCTAGGCCAGGGCAGATAATTTGAAATCGTGGAAACCCTATGGATTAACCCAGGGTATAATGGAGTAGAATGGAATGAGTACACTGGGTAACCGAGGATGTACCTTGATAGAACAGAATATACATGCATTGCATGTCTGTCAGAGAAATTTACACTGGTGTACCAAAGGAGACCCCCCCCCCCCGCACACACACAGCTCATTTTGAACATCATTGTCGAGAATTTGACCGTCAATATACTTACGTTGTATTTAGTAATATTTACCTGTTATTCTCTGAAAAATCAAGATACCGGACTGATGAATAGCCCGGCAACTCATCGTTAAGGCCCGGTCCCACTGCACTTACGGATGCAAAGATGATGTAAAACGGGGAAAAAACGTGCCCTCCGTTTGAAAACGCCATGCATCCGTTGTGTACTCATTGCATACGTGTTTCATACGCTCTATCCATCGAGCATCCGTTCACTTTGATTTCATCCGCGCAAAAAGTTTTGAGCTGCACAAAACTTTTATAACGGATGAACTTTCTGCCGTGTACGATGTAAATGCGCGACATATACGAGCACCAATTGTTCCATGTCCGTTATCATCCGTTAAACGTCCACTGTATCCTCTCTACATTCTCTGGGCATCCTCGCAACTCACATCCGCTCCAGCTGAAAACGGTAAGAGGGAGGAAAGATAAGGTACATGGAACGTCTATAGATCGTTAGTAGCACGGAAATAGAAAGGATGTAAGCGTATGCATCTCGTATAAAAAGTTTTCAAAACGGACAAAGCGTTTGTATCTGGGATGTATCTGGTATATTGAAGGATGTCTGGAGTTTGCTGGAGCTGTCATCCACTTCCATCCGCTTTCATCCGCTAGGCTTCCGATGAACACCCATTTAACATCCCCGCTACATACTTCCCACGTTCGTTCTTTTCCGTTCTGTTTTCGCAAATTTTCGTCCATTTCTGGCGCGGATGAAAACGGATGGAGCCACCCGCGAAAGTTTGCTCGTCCGCTGTGTCCTTTTTGCATACGTTGTGTGTCCATCGACCACTGGGACCGGGCCTTTAGGGCTTTGTTATAGAATTCAGTCGATAAAAATGAAAATTCTAATGAATTCAGACGATAAAAATGAGAGTTCGTTAAAATAAACTTTAACTCTACGTATTCTATATAATTATTTGTAAAGAATAATATTTGTATTTGGTTTAATTAAAGGCTCAATACCACTCTTGTTGTAACTGAATAATATGTCCCAATCTTTATTCTGGTCAACAAATTGTACTATTTTAGAATATTTCAATTAATTGATGATACAATTTCATCTTAACACACCTTATTTAAAAAATTTGAAAAATTCAACATAATGGTTTGAAACGTCTAACGTAAACCTTTTCAAATGAAACTTCGATTTAAAAATATTTTCGAACCCTCTGGACAAGTAAAATAGGATGTAATGGATAATTTACACAACAGGTAGGACACTTAAACATCTAGTACTTAGATAGAGATATTATTTATTTTCTGGAGCTTTCAAGCCAGCAAGAGTGTTATTGTCCCTTTAAATTAGAATTATAATTGCTTGTTATGGAAATATTCTTTCTCATCCGAATGTTCACAATGAATCAATCATCAACTAAATTCCCACAAAGCTCCACTTAAAGGAGCTAAATCGCTAATATTTGGGACCTAGAAATTGACAAAAATGGGTCGCAACGCATATAATAATGTAATATGAATGTATATAAACTGATTTACATTCAATCGTTTCTGTTTTTACTGTAATTTCTAATCAGTTATGTTCGGTGAAATAGGCCAGAAGTCTCATGTGAATGGGAATCTTTAGCGTCTGGTTTTTCCAGTCTACACCGATGGTATTTATTGCGCATGCTCTCCAGATAAGAATATAGCGTCACCATTTGACATGACTTGTGGAATATGTCTAGCCCTGGTCTGTGAGTCCCCTGTTCCAAATGGCGCTGAAACGTATTATGGTACACGATTCGTGTAAAATGTTAATTTTGTCTTGAATATTGGATATCAGAAGCCCACTTTTTCCCCGTAAGATCACAAGACCAATGTTGATTTGAATTGACAAATAATTCGTGTTTTCAATGTCGAAATTTTTTAATGATATTGAGTTAGAGACTTAGCTACTTTAAGTATTATTGTATTCCTAATTATACAATTGTATTTCTATGACACATGGTCTCATCATCTGATGTTTGTGCCGGAAAAACGAAAATATATTGCCCGAAAAATAGACGGTTCACTAAATCTGCACCCCCCGCCCCATATCATGTAAATAGATTATTCTGTATTATCATTATTAATCCACATTGTCCTCAGGTTTATCTGGTAGATTTTGTTTTACGTGTTCTGCGGGTCCTGCTGCACTTAATATTATAGTTATAGCAACGTAGTGAATAGGGGGGAAACCGAGTGACATAAATTTAAAACAAAATACATATTGGTTTAGATTCATCTATTGAATATCTTTTGTTCTACCTTTTAGTATGCTATCTATTCTATTGTATCGTCCGCCCAGCCATTAGTGAAATATTGAACTAGTGTCAAAACATCAATGACTATACTCTGCGTGGCTAGAGTTAAGAGAGAATTTCAGGTGTTTCCGTTTGTTTAAAGATTATATTCATATAACCCGAAGTAGTTTAAAATGCACATTCGGCTCTAATTAGCAAATTAAGAAGCCGACTGTGACGCCATCGGGGTAACTGTCAGTCACTGTTTATCAAGAAAACCATACCCCCTAACACCTGTCCAACTAGTATAATGAAATCTGCGTAATAAATAAACATTTTCACCTATAAAGGAAAAATGAAATAAAATGGGGTTTAACGTCCCACGTTTCGGCTCCGAACGGGCATACGCCATACAGTGTGCTATGAGGGAAATTTTGCCCGGACAGCAACACTACGGCCTACTCTTATATTGAATTCCAACTCTCAAGGGATCTTTGACCTGAACGCTAATGTGTACACGGGACCCCGGGGTTTCGTCCCACCCGAACGACTAGACAGCTGTCCTTGTCAGGCCCCCCGTCCTGCATCACTGACAAGGGGGAACCACGCCGGAAAATCTGGATGAACTTTCTCGGCCAATTTAGTTTAAGTGCTTAACGGGGTTCAATCATTTGTGACTTTTAGATATTCAACTTTCAAAACATTGTATAGTTAGCAAGGAATTCAAAATCCACAAAAGGCGATAAGCTGCTTTAATGTTAAATACACAAATTAATATAAACAATGACAAGAACAGAAGTTCTCCTTTAATATCAACGTTGTTCAAAAACGAAATTATTCTTTAGTGTTTTTACAATGATGCAGGCATAATCAAGGCAATTTGAGGGAACTAATCAATATGATTATATTAGACATTGTAGAAACGGTAATCAATCTGAAATTGCTAAAACGTCTTTATTCTTTACAATTTCTTATCTATACCTATTAAAGGCTATTTACACAAAATAGAAACATTGATCGGGTACAGTTATACGGTTTGGATAGAACTGATGGTGGTACATTCACATTAGTTAATAACAACCAACTCGATATAGACAGTGCAGTGAGCTTCACTCTTTGTAGAAATCAGTGATGGAAAGTCGGCCCAGTGCAGCGAAGATACCTTTGGTTCGGTGTTGAACGAATAAATCAGTATAGAAACTTTGACTTAGCAAAGTCCATTGGTTTGGTGTACCTAGAAAGTGTAACTCAGAGCACGGAAGCATTGACACAGTCTAGAGACATTCACTTTTGAGTGTAGAATTGCGACTGGGCACTGAAATAACTCCGTGTGGAAAGAGAAAATCAGTACAGAAACGGCACCTCGGCCGGAGAATGATTAACAAGAGTTTTAGAAAAAAGAAAAACATTGAACAATTCGCAACTTCATGAAGAAAGATAAACAACTCGTTTTAACATTCATTTGGTGTAGAACAAGCTGATACAAAAACACTACACGACGGCAAAAGTTAGTATAATATCAAACACAAAGAGGCAAAAGCAGGATATCATTTACTTGTACAAATATTACACGCGTTCAAATTATTCAGATGTGTTTAATATACAAACATTAAAGATGTCGTTGCAGTGGAAAATATGGATTAGAATCACTCTGAATATTTTATTTCTGCAAATCACAACTATTGCTGGTAAGATTCTTTCTTATATTCCTTTGATAGAAGACTCGAAACATACGTAGGCTTTATACTCGATTTATCAAAGTAGCAAGTCGGAATAATTTGTTTTCATTAATCATCCTTTTACTATTATAATTGATGAATATGCATATTAATTTAGAAATTCTAAAGTTATTTTGGTTGTTAATTAAAGAGTTTAATAAAGAGTTGGTCATGCTTGCTATAATAGTTCAAAAATAGATATTAAAAAAAGAAAATATTGAAAATTTCATTCAAATTACTTCATTCTCAGCCAAGTTATCCTTGTTTGTAGTTTTGACAAGATGTGTGCACAGTGGTAACCAGGGCACTGGTATAATCGTGACTTAGCCTCGCTTTCCCATTTTTAAATTAAATTTTTAAATGGCGAACCGTTTTAATCTAGTTAAAATCTCGAGTGTCCGATGCCATCGAGGGTCGATTATGGTCTTGTTTTGTTAATAAATGTCTTATTAATAGTTTATATATAACATTTCAGGCCTAAAGAAAGGCCTGCAATAGGCAGATTGAGCTCTTGCATAATGTATGTTTAATTTACGAATTAGAGTTTTCAAACATCGAATTAGAGAAATGTGTGAATTTTTAAATTCACTAGCTTTGTAGATGGCCATAATATTAGCAAGTTTAAACCCTATGGCAAATTCTATGTGTGTGTTTTTATATATAAAAATACTGCTTCTACCCTATTTATAACTATCTACAGGAAAGAATTCTTTTAAAATACAGAAAAAGTTTTGGGAATTTTACGATATCATAATAATATGGTAATGTTGCTTCGGTCATGCCGTCATCAGTGACGTGGGAATTATATTTTGAGGGGTTGACAGACTTGTAGGGAACGAGGCAGGGGTCTTTAGGACATTTTTGGAAGTTGCCGTATCCTAGGGAATATACCTATAAATACCGCCGTTTGCAAACTTTCAATTATCAGACGGTGAATCTAAAAGTGTTAAGCGACCAGTGATGAATGAGATACGCCTAAAAGATAAAAAAATATAGCTCGAAAAATGTGGGTTGGCAAAATATACCTTTACAGACCACGGCCTGTTAGTGTCGTATGTAATTTTGTTAACTCGAGGTGAAATTAACATTGCAATGCCACCTGTAAAGGGTTATTGTTTAACATAATTTAAATTTATGATTTTCTTAACAAGGATACGATATGAATATATAAACTAATATGCTTTCAGGAGATTGCATGGAACCGCCACCAGTTCCCAGCGCCTATAGATTTACCGACAGTAATTCGTATCTGACCAACGGTGCTGTTAACTATTCCTGTTATATGAATCATATAAAGATTGGAGGTCACGAACAAATTATTTGTCAATCTGATGGAACATTTCAGCCTGCAGCACTTGAATGTAAACGTAAGTGTGCGGCACGTCAGATTGTAAACAACGCAAGGCATACAGGCACCTCCGTGAGATTAAGTTTCTTCAGGCCAAGTTACATATAATACGTCGCTATCTGAAATTCTTCTATTCCTCTGTGATCTTATACTATTTCATCACTATCATATTCGCGGTTGTAGTGAATCGCCCAATTAGTAGTACCACTAGTGAGTGGGTGATAGACTGTAGAAATGGTCTGTCAACTCTCACAAAACAGGTGGAGTTGACAGACGGGCCTCTTGTTTCTGTCCCATTTATTATTCTCTCGTTCACAAGAATTTGCTACCATCAATGAACTCCAATGCCAGGAAATTGACTAAAATTGTCAGGTCCAGTTCCAAAAAAAAGAGCAGTTACATAAGTTGCTATCTGAAAGTTTTTCGCGCCGTGGCGCTTGATTCCATTATGACATCATTCTTCCACACCTCTGGGGCCTTATACAAAACAGGCGGGAATGACAGGAAGAGGAAGATCTCGAGGTTCTGTTCAACTAACTCCCATTTTTGATCCTCTCGTTCACAAGAATTTGCTCTCAGCAATACCCTCAAATATGAGGATAATGAGCCCCACCCCACCCCGACGTCACCTCTTTGGGCTGCACCGTCTTACAGTCACTGCCCCTAAGGTTCACAAAACAAAATATTAACAAAATCAATAGCAATCATTATAATATGACAAGAACATTATGTGAACTTGAATAAAACTGCTTTTTGGCAGATAACAATGGGCGAACAACCTATATGGGCAATACGATCGGTGTTCTACCGCTGCGTTCAGTGTTATAACCAGTTTGCTGACAGTCATTGTGGCGTGGGATCAGGCTTTAATCTTATTAAATATGTTCCATTTCAGTATCTTGTGGTAAACCCAGAATTATCGAAGGTACAAAATACAACAAATCTATATCTGGTCAATATTTAGCTGGGGATACATTCGAGTACCATTGCATTGCTAACCAATCATTATCTTTGCGAACGACTTGTAATGAAATGATTGGACGATGGGATCCGGCTTACTTTATGTGTTCCGGTAAAGTATTATCTATCTTATTTTGTGGGTTTGATAAATGGAAACTCTAGTCTTCGCAATGATTAGTTTGATAAATCAAAGAATTTGTATTTTTAATTCTATAGATAAATAAACACAGACTCTATTGCAAGATTTGGCGCACATTGAATCGAATAAACAATAAACAGAAACAGGTTTACGTAGCTAACGTTTCTTGTATATTGTGTACTACCCCCAAATTAAAATATAAACCCCATACTACCAAACAAAAACATTTAAGAAACAAACAAATATCACCACGACTGTAATAAAATCCTCCAAAAATTTAAAAATCGCGGCGTACGGTAAATTTAAAGCGACTATCCCGATTTGAACAGAGACTCAAAAATAAATGTCCGAGTACGTATGAAATTTAAGAGCCAAAATATAGAGGAATGGTGTATTTACCGTGTCTCAAAATTTCAGCTCAAAAGACTGAGTTGTTTGGACGTGAACGTTAAAACTGCTTATCCGAGCACGTAACCCTTTTAAGATTTCGGGTCAATTATTTCGTTGGGTGACTTGATGATCGATTCCCGGTCCTTGAGAGGTCTATTCAGTGGTCGGCCCACGTGCTGTACTTGATAACGAAAGGTAAATTTCACGAACACATTATTTTTATAAAAAAAAATTCTTATTTTATCCAGATACCGCATAACACATCTTGAGATACCAGTCCCCATTTCAAGATGAAGACTGACGGGTTTAAGTTGTTTGAAAAGTATCACGAATATTGAGTTAGTTGCTCGGCCCTTAGGTAGACGATTTTAAGGGATTTTAACACAAAATTAAGCAGTTTTATTCTCCAAAAAAATTATCGGGATTGGCCCTTTAAGTAAATTACTTTCACTTTTGTACAAGTAATGTCCCAGGGCCCTATATCAATACGAACATCGGACCCATGGCGGTGGGTAAACCCTTCACATTCCGCATTTCCGGATACGACCGGTCTCTTACTGATGAATAAGGAGATTGTTAGAAATACCTATATCCGCATCAGCGCTGTAATCGACTGAACGAAAGTTGGTTATGCTATATCTATCAGGGGCCTGTTTTACAAAATTTTAACTAAGATAAAATCCAAATTTTAGTAATTTGATTGGATAATATTATATTTGATTTTAGTGCGTAGCCAATCAAAATTGAAGTATCTGCTAAAATTAGATTTTATCTTTAGTTAAGATTTCGTGAAACAGGCCCCAGAATTCTAACTAAAGACTGGTGCTAATAATATATATCCCATGTTTTAAGGCTATAATAATTTGGCACTAAATAGACCTGCAGATAATGGCGTTAATGGGAAAGGAGCAGAATTAGCTGTGGACGGTGAAAAGGCCGATGACAAGTGTTCTGAAACTGGTGACTCATTAAGTCCGAGTTTTGAGGTCATATTGGTGGATGATATCGATAACGTGATACTAGATATACATGAAGTGAGGTTAACATTACAAACCAAAATAGGTAACTCATTAAAATATAATACAGAAATTAGTTTATATGATACCTAAGAATATAAAAATAAAAGGTTAGCTGGGATATTACATGGTCATCTTATTATACTATAACATCTCGTTTTATTCTTCCAGTTCAAATGGCAAACTGTGATAGTTACCTGTTACCTGTTCTGTGCCAATTTGTTACTTGGTCTGTGCATCGAAATGGGCAGAAATATTATCTCAGGGTAGATTTTTTTTTAAAATTCTCGGCTAATCTCCCAGACTTCACACCAAACTTGACGTTGTCTCCAAAGGCTCAAACGCCTCTGGTCCCATATAAATTCAAAGCCGATGAAACATGTTTTAAAGCCTTGGGTTCCTTTAGTTTTCAGTTATTATTCTGGTGTATATCAAAGTGTTTCTCTTTTTTCTATATCGTAGAGGATATTGACAGCATCACCGTCAAACCCGTTACTGTCTGGGAAGATAAAACCAATGTTTGTAACAAAGTCAATGCACCATTTCCTGTAGGAGAGACCGTTTATTTTATATGTCCACCCGGTGCTCATGGGATTGGTATTAATGTGTCAGCCACTTTTATTCCTGGGACAACAGGCCGTTTGACCATCTGTGAAGTTGAGGTCTTCGGCAAAACTAGAAACAGTGAGTTATAAATGCAAACCAATCGTAAGCAGATACTACAGACGGGTCTTCTTGATGATAGCCAAAAAGTCGCATTATGTATGCCAATTGAATATGTCAAGATTTCTGAGCCCCACGAAAGTTTCCCCAAGAGACATTAAAGTAGCTAAGTCTCTAACTCAATATCATCAAAAATCTTCGACATTGAAAACACGAATTATTTGTCAATTCAAATCAACATTAGTCTTGGGATCTTACAGGGAAAAGATGGGCTTCTGATATCCAATATTCAAGACAAAATAAACATTTTACCATTGGTACACGAATCGTGTACCATAATGCGTTTTAGTGCCATTTGGAACAAGGGCCCCAAAGAACGAGGCTAGACATATTCCACAAGTCATATCAAATGGTGACGTATTATTCTTATCTGGAGAGCATGCACAATAAATACCATCGGTGTAGACTGGAATAACCAGACGCTAAAGAGTGTCATTCAAGTGAGGAAACTGGCGTGTTTCGCCGAATATAACTGATTTGAAATAAAACAGAAACGATTGAATGTAAATCGGTTTATATACATTCATATTGCATTATTATATGCGTTGCGACCCATTTGTGTTAATTTCTAGGTCCCAAATATTAGTGATTTAGCTCCTTTAAGTTGAAAGCATTGTGATCGGATTTGGATCACTCACTATAAAAGGTCAATGAAAATAGTCATTTGGACCTCTTTTGGTTTACATTTGATAACCGTGGCTACACTAGTCTCGATCACCCAGAACATCCCAGTCTTCAACGCACTGAGGGTCTGGGACCGTTGTCAATATTTGACGAAAAGTTCCATTGCTCATGAGTAACCAGGAGTTTGTTTTTTTATGTGGTTGATTATCCAGTATCTTTGGCCAAGTCAAGTAAGAGTTGCGCCCCCCCCCCCCGCCGCGCAATAAATCCCATAATTCTTGCATTAATGTAAGCAAACATAAAAAAACCCCATAGATATGTCCCATATAAAAAGAGAAAAAAATAAGAGTGTTGATATTGAATTAACAATGCAATCAAATGGATTTTCTGAAATGGCATTCTTAAATTAATTTCATGGGCGTCAACATCTTGTTTCAGGACGAGTTACCTCCCTTAGACTTTGTTTATGGCAATGTAAAAGACCGGATAATCTAGCCAATAATCTATTATTCTCAAATCTTGACAACGCATCCAAACTAACATTCGTTATTATATTTCTGGATGGTAGAGACTATGGCTACGGTACGACGGAATGGCGGCGTAGCCATTTTGAACGGCCATGTGATCAAAGCATAGCGTTTCCGACTGTTGTCGGCTGTGTTTTGTAGATCGCAGTAGGTTTATAAATAAATTAGTCTTTGCGTGATCGGAACAGCTGTGGTTTCGTTTGCTGCTAACAACACAATAGTAAAAATACGAAACATTGACAAAACATATTAAATACGGAATATATAACGAAAGAAATCAAAACACGTAAAACATTTGATGTTCCTTGAGTATGTCCTGTTTGTTTGTTTCAGCTGATTGTGGTTTCCCTACCTTTGTATATGGAGCTAATGCTAATTTCAGCAACACAACTCGTACAGCTACATCTCTTTATTATTGTTTGAGTGAATTTAGGTTTGTAAACACAGGGTCAGGCCATAGCGGTAACTCCAATTGCTGGGCAAATCATCAATGGTCGCCACCAACCATACAATGTGCCTTTGGTAAGTAAATCCCCTGTCGGTTCTGGACAAATATTGGCGTCTGCAGTTCAAGCCAAAATATCGCGCCGGTTAGCTCCAATATGTAACTTTGAGCGCCGTAATGATGGGCGTTGGGCTTGCTCCTGCTCGAATCAAAACCTAGATACCAGAATGCATCCATTGCGTTGCCTGTATTGCAGGTCACGCGAACAGTAAGCCATAGCCATTAAACAAATCTGGTGAAGAGATTCTGAATTCGATCCACAATTTGTAATAGGCTATAGCTTTTGTATTTAATGATGTATCCTATGCCCGGTACTTACTTCTCAATACTGTCCGAGACTCAACTTCCCGTATTTATAGATCAAACATTTCGTCCATTAAAACCCCTAGAGTGTTTCTACGCAATGCCACATATTGAGTTAAGATAAATAAAGTTTTAAAACAAAAATTACACTTTTTGTATTGTAGATCAGCAGGATGAGTCAATTGTGTATCCTCATGGTAAGTAACTGCATTGGTTTTTACTGTAGAGGTATTAGGCGTTTTTATGAGAAAACAAATAGGTTTCGATTACCTATCTCGTTTTGTACATGACGAGTTATTTATTCTGTTCTTGACGACACTGCCCAAAAATAAAAAAAAGAACCCGAGAAGTTGTATCAGTTGACTGTGCCCAAATGGAGGTATTTACCATCTCATCGAAATCAGATAATTGAAATGGAATGAAACGAAATGGGGTTAAACGTCCTACTCCGACTGGGCTAATGATGACGGGCATACGCCATACAGTGTGCTATGAGGGAAATTTTGCCCGGACAGCGGCACTATGGCCTACTCTTATATCGAATTCCATCTGCCAAGGGATCTTTTACGGAGCCAAACCTGTAATTCAATATTTTCACATAATATTCGAAATTAAAAGCATGAATTAGAATTCAATATTGGACCGTTTCAATCAATATTGGAGTTGTTATCTTGCGTTGCAAATATGGGATCCTAATATCCAATCTCGTCCCATTCGAATGACTAGACAGCTGTCCTTGTTAGGCCTTCAATCCTGCACCACTGACAAGGGAAAGCCAAACCGGAAAATCCGATGACCTTTCTCGGCCAATGCAGGGATCGAACACGCAAGATACAAGTTAGCGAACCTATGTCCTACCCACTTAGCCACCATGGCTCCCGAATCAGATAATTAAAGGAGTTAAACCTGTAATTCAATATTTTCCCATAATATTCGAAATTAAAAACACAAATTAGAATTCAATATTGGTCCATTTCAATCAATACTGAAGTTGTTATCTTGCGCTGCAACTGTGGGACCCTAATATCCAATATTTAAGACACAGTGAAAATTTAAAAATCGGTACACGAGTCGTGCACCATGAAGAATGAAACAAGCAACAACCTTCCTTTCCTAGATATACCAGTAATTACTTCAGTATACAGGAAGCCAACCCACACGGACCAGTATATTCATTACAAATCAAACTACCCTAACAGCACCAAAGCAGCTATCATCGCCACCCTAACAAAAAAGGCCAAAAATATTTGTGACCCCGAACTCCTCCCCACGAAGTACAACACTTTACAGACGTTTTCACCAAACACAACTGGTATACGCTACAGATGGTTAAAGAGATTATCAATGCCACACTACCCGACCTGCCAAAACTAGATAAACTTAAAACTGATAAAGCCACTATACAAGTGGTTATACCTTTCCACGGTAACATCTCCCGCCAAATTTTCCGGCACGTAAAAGATCCCTTGGCAGTTGGAATTCGATATAAGAGTAGGCCGTAGTGTCGCTGTCCGGGCAAAATTACCCTCATAGCACACTGTATGGCGTATGCCCGTCTTCATTAGCCCAGGTTAGGAGTAGAACAGTAGGACGTTAAACTCCATTTCATTTCATTTCATTTCTCCCGCCAAATAAGAAAGAAGCACATATAGAAACCACATATCTGAAAGGCACGACAATCAAAGCAAATGGAAAGATAACCCCCACCAAATCCATCTCCCCAAAAGGATGTGTTTATCAAATAAGTTGCAGTTGTGGGGAATCATACATTGGGGAATTCAAAAGACCCCTAGACCTCAGAATTAAAGAGCACATGTCGAAAAACCCCACCAACCAATCTGCCATTGCCGAACATCTTAATGAAAACACGCTCCACCGAGTGAACTGGACAAACGTTAAAAAGTTAGCAGTTAACTGTCACAACAAACAAAACCGAAGAACTCATGAAGCAATTGATATATATACGTAGGCATGAACCAAAACTAAATAGGGACACCGGAGTTTACATTCCAAGAGCGTATGTCCGCATTATTAAAATGCAGTTTACATCGTCCCAGAACAATTCACAAGTAATTACTCTTAAATTTTAATATTTTTTATTGTTTTAATTTTGTATATTTCCTTAAATAATTTACACATTTACACAGTTCTTCATCTGTGAACATACTCTCAAAGCATGTCAAGTGTTCATGACTATTTATCATATCACAACCTGCATAGATATTTGCATTTCAATATCCGCTACTTTTTTTTGAAGAGTATATATATATATCTGTCAGTATTGCTCGTGGCTCATTATACCTCTAAATAATTGTATGATCTTTTATTCTTGTTCTTATCTATACCAATTACAGTTATATCTGTCTATGTACACTTGTTTATCTAACAGCTTCGGACAGTTGCTCATGCTTGCGGATTTTGCATCGCATTGGAGGGTTCGCACCGCTCTTGTATATACATTACCATATTCTTTTCATTTTATTTATTTATGTTATATTCTTGTGAAATCTTGTTGAAAAGTCGCAGTGAAATAAACCATAGTAATTGTTATCCATAAATAGTGTTATTTCAGTCGTGCACTCAATGGTTGCGGGCGCCATATGTTATGCGCAAAGAAAACATATCCTACAAAACAATGGCGATGTTATTAGTAATGGCTAATTCACAAACGACAAAAGATTAATTATAGAAAAAACCGTGTAGAATACCTCAAGCAGGCGTAAACGACTGTCGTTCAACTTGGACTGTTCACGTACTTCACCGAACATAATTGATTAGAAATTACAATATATTTGTTAAGAATAGAATCTAAATCACTTTGTATACAATCATATTACATTGATTTGTGCTTTTAGACCGATTTTCGTCTATTTAAAGGTTCCTAAGTATAAAGCCATACACCCTTTAACCGTTTTCCAAATCAGCGGCCCTTTGTTTGAACTTGATGTGGTAAAATGATGTCACTTACCATTGAAATCTTATACATGTAAACATGATGAAGCATCGTTTTTGCGGTGGAGTTACTGGTTCTTTCACTGTACACCGTACTGTATTGGTCGTGCTACCGCCTTTCACAAAGGTGATAGTTTGTCACCTTTTCGGTTGAAGAGGATTAAAGTCGTCTCCCCCATAACAGTTATCTATCACAAAGGTGATAGCAGGCATATTTTCGTTACCTAACATACCCGGACTGTAAGTAACACAATTGACGAGCCTCAAGTTTTTGATTGGATTCTACAGGTTTAGAATGTTTACACAGTAAAAATGGTGAAGAATACAAGGGCGTGATAAATACCAGTGTATCAGGTGCTGTCTGTGAGAGGTGGGATCGCGTTCCAAATGGTGAAGAGTTGAACTTTCCTGATAACCCAGACACCGATGGTACCAACTATTGCAGAAATCCTACAGGAGTGAATACCCCAGCTAAGAAGAAACCATGGTGTTGGGTACGCAACTATACAGCTACAGAATATTGTCCCATAGCATATTGTAGTAGGTATCTTATGCGTATCAGGTAAATTTACGTACCCAGTCCCATAAACTTCGTAAATGGCTTAATTGTGTTCGTCATGTAAAATTCTTTGCAATTCGTAATGTGTGTTACTAGATATAAGGGTTGTCACAAGGAAAGTAGGGTTGGGTTGACGAGGACAAATGAAATGAAATGGGGTTTAACATCCTACTTCTTTGCACCGACGTGCATACGCCATACAGTGTCTCATGAAGTAAACTTTGCCCGTGCAGCTCTGCTACGACCTACTTCTATTTCGAATTCCATTTGTCAATGGTTCTTTTATGTGCACTCCAGTGTGTACAAGGGACCTCTGTTTTCATACCACCCGGACGACCAGTCACTGTCCTGGCCTTAGGACAATCTTATTTAAATAGCCCACCCGGTCGCCTGTCATTTGCAAGGCTTGCAAGGAACAAATCTTCTCACATTTGATTAGAGAGACACTCAGATGTCCGAGCGTCATTCTGCTTCATAAAATGGACCACTTAACTATACATCGTATATAAAGATATCAAAACAATTTTGTTGCAACATGACCTAGGTAAGTGTTGACGAGACGTAAATCCGAATTAAGTTGCATAGTTGAAAAAGAACCTATATCATAACCGCGTTATAAGGTAAATGTAAACCAGCGTACAATTTCAAGATGGAAATTCAGACTTTACGAGTGACACAGATGAACCGATCCTCTTTTATTTCGAGTATATTCTATAAGGGCCCATTCGGGTTCGAGATGACATGGCTTAAACTATATAATTATTAATACTGTTACATCTCGTTCTATTGAAGATGAAATATGTGCCCTGTATCCTGACATGTACGATTATGTTGGCAACCTAAACATCGGTGTCTCTGGAACAACTTGTGTCCGATGGGACGCAAAAGCTTTGTTCACGACTGACGTTTTCCCAGACAAAGCCAGAAATCACAGTCATTGTCGTAATCCAGGGCGATCTCAAGACAAGGCATGGTGTTACGTCAGTTTAGTGGATAACTCTCATGAGGCGTGTGACATTCCTAGTTGCCGTAAGTATTCACCATTTTATGCTTGGTATACACAGTTGGGTGAAAACATTGTCTCGATAATGCAATTCTCTAGACCCCCCCCCCCACCATCTTGGAATTGAAATCTTGCTATCGCAAAATGACGCCTTCTTTGATTGGCTTAACAAATCTACGCTAATCAATCTGATTGCACGCTAATGAGATTCAAAGAAATACCCGAGGCACCTTTTTTCAGGTAGAGTTTGAACAGAGCTTCTTGACTAACAATCACATTGTGACAACTTCCCAGCATAGGTGTTTTTTCTGTGAGTTATATAATTTTAAAGGTCGTTGCTATGTTTTAATTATTACCAACTAATTGTTGCGTTTATTAGTTCCCTCAGGGACAAATTCGCGACTAGTGTCTCCATATATTGAGCACTAGCATTCAGTCATGGCACATAGTCTATTTCTTCTATATTTTGTCATGTGATTTGCATACATAAAAAACCTTTGTTTCGCGGTGAAAACGAGGACTGTAATGATTGCTGCTCCATATAAGCCAGCAAATATACCCAGCAATTTTATCAAAATGAATATATCTTTAAACTATAATAGAGATATCACAATCCACCCGCACCACTTACATTATCCATAATCTGCTCAATATAGTTCAAATTTCCTTTCGTTGATATTCATACAAAATAAAACGAAACGGTTTTGACATTTGATTTTAATGAGTAAATTCGGGGTTAAGACTAGTGTTAGTCATAAAGCACATTTGGTTGACAGATTCCGAAATCGCTACCAGATTTAATATACTATTCAAAAAAAGTAGGGGATATTTGATTTTTAAGTGTTATTAAAGTCACCTAATGAAACTGACGAAGAAACAAATGACAAAATGAAATGAAGTTCACATTCATCGATTTATTCCAAATGATCGTTAGACTAAGTAAGGCACAGACTGACCATTATAAGGGTAAAATGATACCCGGGGTCAAACAGCAAAGTTACCACAGCATCACAACCAAGTCAGTAACGGGTAAATCCTCCTCTGTTTGCCAAACAAGCATTGATCCGACGTGGCATACTCCTAATGAGACGTCTAAGGTCATTTTGGTCCAGATTGTCCCATTCCTGTTGCAACGCAGCAGCAAGTTCTTGGACATTGGCAGGACGTTGTTGACGTTGACGTAACCTCTGTCCAAGCATGTCCCAGACATGCTCGATGGGGGAGAGGTCGGGACTCAGTGCTGGCCAAGGTAATGTGGTGATGTTCTGTTGTTGGAGGTAACCTGTAACGATCCTGGCCCTGTGACATCTTGCGTTGTCATCCTGGAAGATGAAACGGCGGCCATGACGTCGTGCGAACGGCACAACATGGACTGCCAAGATGTTGTCCCGGTAGTACTGGCCTGTAACACGCCCTGCAACAACATGTAAAGCCGTTCTTCCAGCAACAGTGATGCCTCCCCACACCATAACAGAACCACCCCCAAATCGATCATGTCTGATGACGTTAACGTCTTGGAAGCGCTCGTTTCGACGACGCCACACCCTCCTACGTCTGTCCAAAAAATCAACAGTGAACCTTGACTCATCTGAAAACATCACATTGCTCCAGCGTCGATTATCCCAGTGTTGACGATCCCTACACCAACGACGTCTTGCCTGAATGTGATGATCTCTCAAACAAGGGATCACGCGAGGACGTCGGGCGCGAAGGTGACCCCTATGCAGTCGATTCCGAATCGTCTGGCCACTCACTCTCACACCAGTGTCTGTTTGAAGACGAGCGCTGATCTGATTTGCTGTGATGACACGATTTCTCAAGGCCAAGGTACGGATAAATCGATCCTGGGCTTGAGTTGACGCCCTTGGTTGACCTGAGCGTGGTCTGTCCTGTACAGATTGTGTATCACGGTATCTGGACCATAGCCTGCTTATGACAGACTGAGAAACATTCATCGTCCGCGCCACAACCGCCTGTGTTGTGCCGATCTGTAGCATGCCAAGGGCACGTAACCTTTCATTTTGGGTAAGCCGACGCATATCAAAATTTGTTTTCTGGTCACTAAAACAATTAAACTGATGTTTCCACCCTGGAATTCAATGCCACAATGACTGTAACATTCAAAGTCAGAGTCGTGCAAATCGTGGGTTGGACCCCCATGATGATCCCAAGCATCACCTGCATTCCATGCGGTAGCTATTGGTGCGTTTGGGCGTCACATGTAACTGGAAATGTTTCTTCTGTTAATTTCTATAGTGACTTTTTTCGTAGTCATTTGCATATTTTAGTATTATGCCCCCAAAATCAAATATCCCCTACTTTTTTTGAATAGTATACTAAAACTCGAAATGACAAATTTTGTATTTTTTTCAGCTGCCAATTACAAAAAGATTGCCATCACCAAGAGTGACAGTAACGTATATAAGATTCACAGCTGCCATATCTGGTATGGTTCTAGAGCGACAAGCCCAGCAATCTTTGTCTACAATAAACAACTCGATCAATCCGAGTTTCAAATGTATTGCTCTCGTTTCAACATTTCATACATATTCTGTAATGTGCTGGACCAACGCCAATCAGCTGCAGCTTTGACTAGTCCGGCGTGGGTCAGGTTTTTAGTTGATTGTGGTAAGTAACCCAACTTCACGCGCTCCTAATAAAGGGAACAGGAGGTAACTCTTGTATAATGATCAGCTATAGAGTTTCCACACAAATTGTCAGTGATATTTGCGTCATGGACATACTGGGTACTACAATCATACTGGGTCAGAATTTACAATTCAAAAATTGCACTAGGCTCATTTTGATGTACCCTATTAATACCAGTCAAAGTTTGTCTAAGATAATAAACATTATTAAAATCAGGGTTCTCCAAACAACCAGAAATTATTTAGGTGATTGTATAACAGCTCGGAGGTGCAGCCATTCGTCAGTTATGGCTGGTATTCCCCTATAATTAGTCATACATTTGGTGTTCTCTATATATCTATCAACTAATAAAGCTCTGGGTAGATTTTTGAATTTCCTCTTCAATTTGCAGTTTACAGCGGAATCGATCGGTTAAGTAGATTGTATATCCCTCTCTTAACTAGTTTAATCATTTATCTGGATTCTGAATTCAGATTTTATTTTCCAAGCTATAAAATAGCTTCGATAATCCATGCCTGTATATCAGCCAGGAGAGGTCTGTAGATTGATGCACTGGAAATAGCTGTGTGCGGAGCAAGTAGGGATATCGCGACCGAAGTAAGAGCTAAATCTGCCTATTGCAGATTCGTCGTTTGGCCTCGAATGCTATATAAATTATTACTAGATTTTCAACGGTCTAGAGTGTCGCGCTTCGAGCTCTAACTGCCCGATCATCTCTGGCTTGCGTGAGCATATGTGGCTTGGAGATAGGAGCGCCTTCTCAACCTCTTGGGTTTATTCCGCAGCTAAGATAATAAAATATAAAAATAAGACAACTCTCGGCAAAAGAGGTTGTTAAACACCACGAAAATATGGCCGTATATTTATAAATGGTAAATGGCAAATGGTTTGTTATATACATATACAATATATATATATATTAATATTAATTTGTAATTGTGTGACACCCATCCTACAAAACAGACCAGTAGTGGAATAAATCGACATGTAAATTCTCTGGCAGTAGAATTAATAGTCTATGTAAATTTATTAACATAATGAGCATTTATGTCTTTCAGATGAGTTTACTTCCAGTTCTGTATTACCAACAAGTTATACCACAGCGATATCACCAGTTACTGTTACAGATTATTCTATAAGTGATATTCTATCGCTTTCACTTACAGTTACCGTTACAAGTCCATGTTCTTACTCTTCAATAATGGACTCCTCGGAATCCACTGCTTTATCGATGCAATCTACTACCACAACCCACGAATCAAGTCTAAATATCGGCTCGATCTTTAATCCATCAGACCAACAAACTTTAGTCACTACCCCCTTACTTTCCGGTATCTTGTATTCCAGCGTAGCAACGCCAACACCCATGTTGTCCAATATAGCCCAACCATTGTCCCAGCCGTCATCAAATCTAAATATGGCCTTGATTTTGAATTCGTTAAATCCATCCAATCAACAAAACTTTGTTACTACGTCATCAATTTCCAAGTCTTTGTACTCCAGCGTAACAACGTTGACACCCATTTTGCCAAGAACTACCCAAACATTCGATCATCAAACATTATCCCAGCCACCATCTTTGTCTTCTTTGTCGACTATATCTCCATCACCCATAAGACCAGACGCTAGCTTAGCAACTCCTGCCAGCAGTCGAAAGTTTTGTGCCTGTGGTTGTAAAACAAAGACCTTAACAGGCGCCAAATTATCCGAAAATATGAAAAAAGTTGCTAAAGAATTAACGGTTGAAAAGAAGACACTTTCCGCTAGTATCCGGAAAATTACAAGTGCTGTCGATAATCGGCCATCAGCGGTTTCCATGGGTTACACGGGGGTTATTCTCTTGACAATGGCCTTGGTGATAATGATTGTACCCGATCTGACCAATGTGCTTTACTTTTTGAAAAATAAGACTCGCCATCATGAATTGGAATAAGTATTGAAATAAAACTATTCTCATTGATTTCCATGGCGCATGTTTATTTATTTGATAGGGCCGAAGAATAGACAGGCCCAAATGGTTCACAATTACTGCCCAAGAACATTCGTTTATATGTCACCACCCAGTCGTCACGTATGACAACCAAGGTAAGTAGGGAAACTATCCAGGGCCGGATTTACGTATTTGTGCTCCCCCCCCCCCTTTAGGCCAAACTCATCAATTAGCCCCCAGATTTATAGGAATGTTGGCTTGTGTCCGGGTCCTATACATCTTATTTAGCCTACATTATATATGTATAATGAAATACATGGTGTACACTTGGAACAAGATTATACACTTTTAAATCCCGTCCTACCCAGGGGTAGTAAAGGGGGTTGTGTGGCCGAGTGGTTTAACGCGTTCATTTTAGATCATAAGGTCTGTCATTGAAACGGGGGAGGGGGTGACCGATTGGTTAGCGCGTGCGCGCTGTATCATATGGTCTGTCATTCAGTGACAAGGAGTAGGGTCGCCTGTCCAACCTCGTAAGTTTTCTCAGGGTCCCCAGGTTTCCTTCTACGAGCATGCGAATTATTGAAATAAAATTGAACCATATGTTAGTCCCGAAATGACCTACTTTGTGCCAAGTGGACGTTAAACCCCATTTCCCTCTGTGTGTCATTGAAACAAGTTACATGGTTTTGATTCCACACTTGTACGTGACAAAGAGTTGTGTCGCCTATCCAACCACGTGTGGTTTCACCTGCTCGTCCGTTTGATTAAGACCTTTACGCGCAAGACATTTATTGAAATGTATTTTAGTCCAAAATGACTGTGTATTAAATATGTTAGTCCTAAAAACCTACTTTGTGTTGAGTGAACGATAATTCGCCTTTTTTTGTCTCTGAGAAATAATAGAAAATTTGTTAGCTGTGTCAAGTCCTTAATTAAATTATATGCGGTGTACGACACCTGTCACCATTTATGTAGAACTGTCTTCCTGTCGTCTGAACATTTATAAAAAGTCAAAATTAATAATACTGAAAACGCTGGGGATTTGGCGACCATTTCCTTATTGCAGTGCAGTCGTCGTGTGGTGGGGATTTGGCGAACATTGTTAATTGTTCAGGCGGCCACATGCTTAGACTACTACGAGGACGGTAGCTGTCACCGGTCAGTGCTGTCATATCGTCATTCAATCACCGAATTCTCAAATATAGTGAGGAGTCACACCGCCATACACAGCCTGTTGTCACCCTTAAATACGTCATCGTTGCGATCGTTTTGCTTATTCTTCCCTTCAATTGTAAAGAAAAACAACCCACATAAATTTTAGAAGTTTTTGAACTTTATAAATCAAAGCAGATCAAACCTTTATGTGACATTAATGCCATTAGTTTATTTTACTATCATATTGGTAAGGTAGTGGTCGAGTATAGCGATTATTGGTGTTTTTATAATTTCTATTGTTATCTGTAATATAGAATAATAAAATCATAAATGCCCCTTTGTAGATAACCTTCCACCCAAAATCATAAATCACTCATTGCAGATAACATTACACCCAAACTCTTCCGTGTCGTAGATAAAATAACATCTAAAATCATAAATTACTCTTTGTAGATAACACTAAACCTAACAAAATACATCAACCTATGCAAAAATAACATAACGCCCAAAATCAAAACTCATCCGTTGTAGATAAGAGTACACCCAAATTAAAACCTAAGGCATTTCTTGCGGACTCCGCGGAAGATCATAGCGATTTTCGCTACTGGCGGCGACCAAGTATTTTCTTAGACTAATAAAATAGTTCATCTAGACTCTCCATAAAATCTGATATCAAGTATTCTCTGCAAGCAATCACATTGTTCACCTACGCTTTCCACAAAATGGCATAACTTCAAAATCTTTACGATTTACTAATAAGCCATTACGGAATGGCCACTAACGAGTCGATTGGCATTGCTTATTTTAACAAATCCTTACAGTGAACATTATAATATTATCACTCACTTGTTCCTTCCTTCCAGAAATCAGTATTCTTCCCCTGACCACCCCTGATTGGTTCTGTAGCATTGTAATTTCTACAGTAAATAAAAATAAATGAGTTATTCCACAATGTCATAAATAGGCTAGACACTAAAATTTGTCCAAATTGTCCAGCTTAGGAAAAATTATAGATGTCAAACATGCTACTAGAAATCGCTATTAGGGTATCGTCGAAGCAACAGCCGCCAGAAATTTGTTAATGTTGAAGAGGCGCAGCTATAAAAGTGAAACATGGTCACCAGTGTTTAGTTGTAGCATATCGACGAGTATATTTGGTAGAAAAATTTAAAAAAACGTTTACAAACCTGGGGCAACAGCGTTCACTACAGTTACTAAAGGCATTGGAAATGCTGTAGTGCGCATCGGGGAAAAATCTGGGCAAGCAGAACCTATAGAGTAAGTAAAGTAAGCCTGCTAGAAGAAGCAATCCTAGTAAAGTTCCAAGCACTATAGCTGCTGTTGCGTCAGTAGTTTCATCTGTTGTGGCAGAAGCTGATGCTGATGCATCACTGTTGGTATCCCCGGCATTGTTGTTGGTGTTAGAATTGATGTTTTGATTTATGGAGATACTTCCACCGGACGCACCCGTATCTCCCATTGCTGATCCAGAGTTTGCGGCAGGCGTTGTTGGTTTTGGTGTTGCTGTTGGAAACTGTGTTGGACAGGGTTCTCCTGTAAGAATGACAATACAGATTTTCAAAGGGCAGTACTGCTCAATTAGTGATTGGAGACAGAGATTGCGCAGTGTTCTAATACACCCCAGCCTTCAACCCTCTTACATGGAATCCATAAGAACTAAACATACTCTATACGTCGGATATTTACTAGAAATAAACAATAGTGTGCGGTTCTTCTTTCAAAAGCATCAAAGACTCACCAATCAATGTTATGGTAACTGGAACGATGCTGGTCAGCGGTCCAGGGTTGGTACCGTGGTCTTTAGCATAAGCCTGAACCATATAAGTTTCTCCAGGTACCACAGCCCTACACAAAATAACCAAACAAGTCATCATAAAAGAAATCCTTCTGCACCATGTTTTATATTACAAAAAAAAATATCTTATACATTGCTTGCTTTAGTCAGCTTTGGTGTGCTAAGGGGGTATTATGTAATTATTTACAAAATGCAATAGTCACTACCGCAACACTCATTGCAAATTAATGGATCTGAAGCTAATGGTGTTTCTGTATCTACTCATACTGCATTTATGATTTATTACAATTGTAATACTGTCATGGGTGAGACTGAGAGTGTGTATTTTTGTAGACATTACTTTCTATTTGTAATGTCCACCTAATAATATTACACAACTTTGTCACTTTGTATATTGACATATAATATGAAAGCCATTTATGATACAACTGTAACGAATACCGCTTGAGGGATAGTATATGCCAAACTCCTCGCAGTGTTTCATTTGATTAGAGCTAATCCCACTTAACACTGCTGTAATGGAAGCATATTTCTGTTCCAAATTATGACTGGTCAATAGTTCGATTAACAACCAATAGCTGATTGCCTAACAATGTCATTCGGGTTTAAACAGAACTCCACATTCTTTACATAACGTTACGTTACGAGATTTTATGCACAATTAACCGTGCATAGCAGAATATTGCAGAACGACGCTATCAACGGTTACAATGTAAAAAATACTGTTTGGAGACGACAATACTTTCACCGTTTTTAATATCTTAAATCACTGTCCAAAGTTTTAGGGAAGACCCCAGATTAAACGAATGGCTGTCATGTTGCTGTACTTAGGAGAGATTTGATTGCAAGAGAAGAATAGACACACTCCCTCAAAAGCTCAAGTATCATAAGTCAATCCAGCAATGGCCAGAGAGGGATTTTCCGGGCCATTGCTTCAGGAATATGAGTATATACTTACTCTTCCACGGACTCCCCATACTACTTTATGAAGTCTGATTTTGTAGTTCGTTTTAGACCCTAATTACCTCTTATTTTATGTATCTGACTTTATTTGCATCTTAAATTAGGTTCATAAATTATCTATTTCGATTAATCATACGATACCAAGAACTCACTTGGTCATATATACAGTGCCATCAGGTGTGACCGTCAAGGGTCCGCTTGTAACTGGGATTATAGAATGATCTGAATTGCCGAACTGCGAGGAGTCTTGGTCTGAGATTTCAAGCTTGATACCAAGCTCTTGAGGTAAATCACAAGCAGTAGCTGATTTCGTGAAGGATTTTACCATAAATTCTGGAGCATGGTTGTTGATATCTTGTATGAGAAGCTTAACCAAAACCCTGAAAGAGATGAAAATATTTAAAAGAGCAGAAACTCATTCAGCTTATGTCGTTGTTGGGTTGCCTTAAGTCCATAACGCCGTAAGACAATAGAATCGATCGACCAAATTTACTACTTGTTATCAGAATGCGGTAAATGATTTTATGCATGTGATAGAATAATTTAAACAGTTTCCAAATAATATATTATTACAATAAAGGTGTTTGCTTAACGGGGGTGGGGTGGGGTGGGGTTGTGGATGGCCGAATGGTTAGCACGTGCGCGCTACGCTGTATCATAGGGTCTGTCATTAAGTCAACTTGCGGGGTTTCGATTCCTCGGTTGTACGTGCCATTAGTAGGGCCGCCTGTCCAACCTCGTGGGTTTTCTCCGGGTCCTCAGGTTTCCTCCCACTGCTAAAGACCCCTACGCACAAGCGAATTATTGAAATAAAATTGAACCATGTGTTAGTCCCGAAATGACCTAGTTTGTGTCGAGTGGACGTTAAACCCCATTTCTCTCTCTCTCTCTCTGTTTGCTAAACACCATACGTAACATTAACCCGCAAGGAATTTACCCAATGGGAAATCCATTTTTGGACTGATATTCCTATTAGAGATTCATCTTTAGCAATACTGTAGTTGGCAAGGTATTCCTATATTGCCCAAGAATGGTTGCCGCTGACGACGTCATTCAATTAAAATATCGACTGAAACCTCCCTGGCAAATAGAAATTTGATCCTTCGAACTGTCAATTCTTAGAATGTCTATGCACTTGCATTCGTAAAATCAACAGTCTATTGCTTTTATAACTACTCTTTTAAGCTTCGGGGATCACGTGGCTAAGTGGGTAAACATTGGAATGCACGTAAAAGATCCCTTGGCAGTTGGAATTCGATATAAGAGTAGGCGATAGTGCCGCTGCCCGGGCAAAATTTCCCTCATAGCACACTGTATGGCGTATGCCTGTCTTCATTAGCCCAGTTTAGGAGCAGAACATTTCATTTCATTTCATTTATTTTAAGCTTCACAGCTCGGTCAATGTGAAAGCCAACTGCTATTCCAGTTGGCTATGACCGTTGCGGATGTACGATACCACTGAGGACTGTTTATCAACCACTGCGATGCTATATAGAATGAAGTCAATCATGGCCAAACGAAATATAAGTTATTCGATTGGTGCCACCAGCAATCACCCCTTACTTATTTGATTCTGTTGGTCCAAGTTCATCAGTAACTACAACTTGAAAAGAGACAGTTGTAACACCTATCTTATCAATAACTACCCCAGTAGGATGAGATATATTTCCCGTGAATGGGTTTATATTATATCCACTGCTTCTATCTCTATAGAAACTAAAAGTATGGCGGTCGTTATAATCGCCATCAGTGATGGTGTAACTGGGTTGGGCGGAAACCTGCAAAAGACAATAAAATGGACATTAAATGGAAAAACGGCAACACAAATACAAATGAACAGTTCCTAGTGTGAGCTCATAACCTGTAAATGTGCAATAAAAATGGTCATTAGTGCTGACTTATATCCATGTGTTTCTTAGAAACGTGGGATAAGAGGCTATATTGTGTCGTCTGAGAAAATAAATTTTATTCCTCGCGTCTTAGTCATCGCCTAGGTTCGCTATCGTTAGCCACCATTGGTATATGTCAAGTCAGGCTAAACTCGACATTTGATTGATCGCAAGTCGAAAGCACTATTGGCGATTTTTTTGAAACTGTTGACTTACTTAAGAATAATAAAAGGTGATGTTTTTTGACATGTTGCGCCGACTCATTAGCCAGATCTCCGTACACTTGGCATCATATTAATTACAGCTGGGTAGACAAGGATACGTGGATACAGTTTCTTATTCAAGGACACACTGATTTCGAATGCTATTTCATATATCTACAGAACTGTTGACTATGTCGCGTTCACCCCCTCCCCCACCATCCCCTAAACACAAACACACTCCCCTATATCACTGCACTGGTATAAATAAAGTCAATATCTTTACCTGCCCTTCGCTCACTTTAATACTTTGTTCAGCCGGACCAAGTTTGGGTACATCATTCACGTTACCGATTCTAATCAGTAAATAATATTTAGATTGACAATGATCATTACTGAAGGTAAACGTGATGTTGATTCTTGGGAATGTCTCGAAATCCATTTCTTGGGAAGTTCTAATAGCTGTAAGCAAGCGGTAAACAAAATTAACAACAAAATAAAGGGATGAAAATGTTTTGAGATACTAACGATTGAAACGAAATAAACTCGTAGGTTAGACGCCATGTTGATCTCGATTATTGTGTATATAAATCGGTTATCGTTCGGACTTACAGAGGTATACAAAGTGCTTGTAACATAAATTTATCGGGTAGATACAAAGTCAAACTGTTCAATACGTTCCAGTGTTCAAAATAAAGCAAACGAGGAAAGCAAAATGAACTGTTTAATTTTATGTTACAACTCCAAAAAAACTCACTTGTCGAGACGATATTAAATCTTGTTCTGGCACTTGATGGATTGAATCTAAAAACTGTTCTCTTAGTATCACTGCTGACTGACCATTTAGCTATGAATGTTGGAACTCGAACAGTTTCCTCATAGAAGAATTCTCGGTTCAGTCCTCGAGCAGTAGGAGCTGTGCTAGTTCCTACATGAACAAATTTAATAAAACAAAGAAGCGTCGAAAAACGAATTTTCCAAGAATGTTTGCTTAATTCCAAATACAACTAATTCAAAAAAATCAAATAAAAAGCAATTTAAAGGAACTAAGTCTCTGACTCAACATTTTCAATAATATTCGAACTAAAAACACAAATCAGAATTCAGTATTTGTCCATTTCAATCCATATTGATGTTGTTGTGGCGCAGTGAAATTAGGGGATCCAAATATCCAATATTTTAAAACACAGTGAATATCTTAAAATCCGTACACGAGTTGTGTACCCTATCGTTTCGGGCACAAAAGAAATAAACAAAGAAAAACATATCCTAAATTAAAATGCGGCAGTAAAATAGTAAAGGCTGATTCACGAATGATAAAAAATAATTTTAAAAAAAAACCGTGAAGAATAGGCTAATTAGGCGTAAACGATCGCGTTCGGTTTGATCTGTTCGCGTATTTCACCAAATATAATTGATCAGAAATTACAATTTTTTGTTTAAATATTGAATATAAATCACTTTATATACACTCATATCACAATAACATGTGCTTTTATAGTTCCAAAAATAGAGTCATACGTCCTTTACGCAGGACGACCCTTTACATAGAAACACCAATTTACATTTTGTGGAATTTTTCAATACATTATTAGAAATGAATCCTCATGATAATAACATTGGTGCTGGACTTTACTTACCAGACAGACGAACTGTAGCTACATGTGGACCAACAGGATCGTGGAGATCATCAGTAGCAGTGACATTAAACGTATAAACGGCGGCTGAACATTCCGAGCTTAAGGTTTTCACTGCTCTGATATTACCACTACCTATAACAAAAGGAAAATAGTATCACTGGCCCTTAAGCAAAGGTACCCATATTCACCATTTTTCTTTTAAGAGGCAATGCCAAGTAAACTGCGAATGTGCCCGCAAACATCAACTTTATCAAATAGTTTGATATCGTATAGACTGAGCTTAATACTAAACTCGTTGACTATATAGTTGTAATAAAACTCTTACCATCAATATAGAAGTTTGTGGTCTGTGGATCAACACTCATGGTGAAATAGATTGGATCACCTTCTGGATCAGTTACAGGAACTGTATAAACTATACCGCCATCATTCACTCCAATGGCATTCTTTGTTATACTTGCTGAAAAGGTTCATTAAACATTTATGATGTATATTAAATTGTACAGACATAAAAACAAAAGTACAACTGACCGTACCTGAAGTGATAAAAGGTGTTATACAGAGATTACATATACCCTGGCACACCGAGGCCAATGGATAAAAGTCGGTGGACAAGAATTATTATACTTGCTGAAACGGTCCATAAAGGGAAGTTTTTATGTGATATATTAAATACAAACGAAAAGAGTGTTAATTGATTTTCGATGTTCTAGAGGGATTGCGTATAATCTGTGTGGTATCTGTCACTACACACTGGTTAATCGAACGAACACAAGGGTCTCCAACAAGAAATGTTAATTGATCTACAAGATGTAAACCCGCTCACACTGTTTGGTATCATTGCTGTATACTACACTAGTTTCATACCATACAATCAGAACAATAGGGAAAGACTAAAGCCCATATAGACTGGCTGAATAAAGGACCCCTGTTTAATTCTTACCTGCAAGTGGATTAAATACTGGAGGTCTGTTCGGAATAACCCGAACCTGGATCCTACCCTCAGCTGTAAGGAATGGTGGTATGGTACCTGGTGTCGGTGTGGTGACTATGTCCGGTACTGTTTTAACCGAAGTTGTAGGGATTTGAGTTGCCGAGCTTCGGTTCTTACAGGGTACAGAAACGGTTGATGCTGTAGTACTTGCATCTGTTGACGCTGTATTACCTGTATATGTTGACGTTGTAGAACTTGTATCTGTTGACGCTGTATTATCTGTATTTGTTGATGCTGTAGTACTTTCATATGTTGACGGTGTATTACTTGTATCTGTTGACGCTGTAGAACTTGCATCTGTTGACAGTGTATTATCTGTATCTGTTGACGCTGTAGTACTTTCATCTGTTGACGCTGTAGAACTTGCATCTGTCGACGGCGTATTATCTGTATCTGTTGACGCTGTAGAACTTGCATATGTTGACGCTGTATTATCTGTATCTGTTGACCCTGTATTACTTGCATCTGTTGACGCTGTATTACCTGTATCTGTATCTGTTGACGCAGTAGTACCTGTAACTGTTGACTCCGTAGGACCGGAAACTGTTGACGCTGTAGTATCTGTAACTGTTGACGCGGTAGTACCTCTGGTCGTAACTGTTGTTTGTGTTAACATTTCAGGCGCCGTCGTTGATTCTTTACATTCAGGTAGAGATGATACCGGTACTGTCGGATTTGGCTCAGGGGTCGTTGTGGGTATGGGTGTTGTAGCTGTATTTTCCACGGTGCATCGAATTGTCATATCGAACACTGATCCTCTTCTATAAGATACAGGTATAACACCAGGAACGTAATAAAGACAGTAATTTGGTGGAGATCCTTAAAAAAAAAACATTGCATCAAATAGTTTAAAACTAAACGTTATTTTCGTTTATTCTGATGTTCGTGTCGAGATGATAATTAAAAAGGGATGATTTAATGATACATTATTTACTGACACATTACCACTTAATAACGCATTATCATTGCGTGATGCATTTAATGCTTTCATTATTAGATAATGATGTATTATCATTTAATGTTTTTACTGTCATTTAATATTTACATTACCAATGAATGTTATCATTACCAATGAATGTTTTCATTGCCAATGAATGTTTTCATTGCCAATGAATGTTTTTTATTGCCAATGAATGTTTTCATTACCAATAAATGTTTTCGTGATCTTCTATCGACACATTACATGCTTTATTATGAATTTTTGATACAATATGAAGCAATGAAACATGGGTTAAATGGTAAGATGTGACCTACCTTTAATAACATTAGTAAGGTTATACATGGAGAAACATTGTCTACAGTAGGTGGGGAAGTTGATGCTGACCAATTCGACAACATAATGTGCTATAGGATCTCCATTACATGTACAAGTTATACACGTCAACTGTTTTAGCTGATTCTCACCCTCATGTAGATTATCCACAGAAAACCCATCCTGTATCTTAGGTTCAATATGCTGAAATCGATAGCATGAAGTGTTCAGAATAAAGACATGAACTCTAGAAAGATCCATTATGTAATATTTAAATAAAGAGCTTGTCCTTTTTGCTATAATAGTTTAAAAATAGATAAAGAAAAATGAATATTTATTGAAAATTTCATTCAAATTGCTTAATTCAGATCGTTTATTATCGTAGTAACGACACTGATACTAAATCTTCATTATCCATTTAATGCTAAATGTTTAAATCTCGCGGATGTTCAAATCCATTTCAATCTCGGCCAGCTTGCCATGTGAATAAATGTCTAAAAATAATTCATGTAACATTTGATACCAAAGAAAGACCTGCAATTGGAAGATTTATCTCTTACAAAATACATGAGGAATTGATATTTAAAGTGAAAATATAGATTAGATTAAAAGAGCTAAATCTCTTTGATTTAGGTCAGTATGAAAAGCTCAGTTGGGTTAATCGGAATGGACAATTATTTAGCTTCATTTTCTGTTTTCTTTTGTGTCGACACAGATAAAACGATCGGTTATATCCCAGCTCCGGCTTTACATGTGGACGTTAAATTGGAACGATGACAGATTGTTATCCGGGAAAATCAATCGTATGAAATCCCCAATTTCATTTTGATGTGTTAACTTTTTTCCGAGAACCGAGATAGACACCATATCATATTTTGTCAAAAACTTCACAGTGGACTAATTTTGAAGTATAACCGACTTTTGTTTTATTATGTGACAGAATACAACATTAACAACAATATTTAAAGACGTATACAGATGGATTGTTCTACTAACTACGAAATGTCTCGATTGAGTTGTGTGGCGCTTAGCACATCAATAATCGAAATAACACAGCAAGTCCGCACTGGCATCGAAAAGATTGTTTGCACATGTGGTGGAAAGCGCCAATAGTGTCTTAATGAATCAATAATGGTAACCGCTTCCTGAAGAAAATAACAGAAAGTTTTCTTTTCCCTAAAAGTCAGTCGTTTTCTCCCAGAGATTATCCCAGAGAGAAATCTAAAGATAAAAAAAATAAATCAAAAACTAACTTTTGGCAGACCATCATGGGAGATTCTATTTTTATATTTTAATTATAAATTAATTACTTACACATTGAGGATTAACTCCAGACAAATTCAACCAGAACAACATTAACCAGAGAAATGCAATCTTCATGTTTAAAAAATAAAGTTAGTCCACTTCGTTTACAGAAAATTACATCTTCGTTATTAATCTGTTTACTTCATACATGTCGCCATTTTGAAATGTTGATACTTGACGTACGAATATAACTTGAATGCAAGTAAAACTTATGCTTTGTTGTGCAGTTTAAAAGAAAACTGCATAGATCTGTATTGTTATGACTTGCCATAGTAACATCAATAGACCGCTTTATACAGAGGGAATTTAATTTATGTAATAATAATACGGGGACATTGATAGAATATTATGTCTGAATAAACTTGCAAAGGTTGTTGCTTGCTATATAGTTAGTTAAGCTAGAGGGGGCATTTAAAAGGAAGGTTTGCAACAATTACATTAGCAATATTCTATTGCGCATTAATAATATTGTCCTGTTAGCTTGATTTGGTATATTATTATATATTGAACCATGTACTTTAAAGGAAATGAAATGAAACGGGGTTTAACGTCCTACTCTTCTGTTCTAACACGCCATACAGTGACTGTTATATGAGGGAAATATACGGCCTACTCTTATATCGAATTCCAACTGTCAAGGGAACTTTTACGTGCACGCCCGTGTGTACACGGGACCTTTGTTTTCGTCCCATAAGAACGCTTACGTTGTCCCCTGCCAGACCCCCTGCCTGCACCACAGACTAAAGTGAACCACGCCGAACTATCACGGCCAACGCATGGATAAACTTTGGACCTCCAGGTTTTTTTTTATTAGCATAATTTTATTTAGATTTGTATCTGAATAGGGATTGGGGAACAGGCATAGCCTATATTAAACCGCTCTCCCTGTCAGATATAGATACATGTATTTACATGTATAAGATAGTAGTGTTTCGATGGATAGTAGGTAAATTATTTATTATTATTTCGGGCATCTGAATACAAGGAGCAATTCAATAAAAAGTTGGAGAACCTGACAAGGACAGCTGTCTAGGCGACCTTCGGTTATCGTGATTTCTTTCCGAATTTCATTTAGTCCGGACCATAGTCCCAAAATACTGAACCATGCTATTGAGGTATGGTCGGAGTAGTTCCAAGATGGCGGTGTCAATGAAACGAAAGTGTGGAATATGTGGAAAGAATCTATTTTTGTTAAATATATGATTTTAAGAAAGTTTAAATGAATTTTAAATGGTTGCTACTTCTATGAGCAGATATTTTTTGTCTCGTATGTTATGTCTGAATCTATGTAAGACTAAAAATTACGCATTAGTTCAATATTTGGGCTAGCAAAAAGTAAAGTCAAGTTACAGGGAATTTTGTCGTCTTTAAAATTAATTTGAGTCGCGCAAATTTAACTTTATGAAAGTATTATTTGTTTATTCAACTATATAACACAGCAATTCATTATCCTCCATGGAGTGATGTATAAACCTTCCTTGGGGTTAAGGTTTTTTTTCAAGGTAATGGTCAAGGTCTAAAGCAGAGTAAAATGACATCACCATGTCTCTGGGGGCAGCCATCTTTGAACAGACGATGAAGGTTTCTAGTTTCGACCACTAGTCGTGAAAAAATTATAACCGAAGGTCGCCCTAGTCGTCCGGATGCGACGAAAAACCGAGGCCCCGTGTATACATTGGCATGTACGTAAAAGATCCCTTGGCAGTTGGAATTCGATGCAAGAGTAGGCCATAGTACCGTTGCCCGGGCAAAATTTCCCTCATAGCACACTGTATGGCGTATGCCCGTCTTCATTAGCCCTGTCAGAGCAGACCAGTAGGACGTTAAACCCTATTTCATTTCATTAAATTTCATTTCATTAAATTTCATTTCAATAAAATTGTTCAGTATCTTCAAACTGATGGCCACATTTACAGCATGGATTTTCAGAGATATAACGTAAAAATGTATGTCTGTTTAGATTGCTGCCAGAGAGACGCAGTTCAGAATGAAAGATATGGATTATGCGGGGGCCAAACGAAAATGTTTTTTGGTGGTGTTGGATCTTGAGCCATGAGTTTCGAATTGAAAATATTTAGAGATATTGAACTTTTTGTATCTGCATTTAATTTGTGTCATTCTTTAATTCACGATGATATGAAAGTATTATAGAAAATATTTGTTTTACATTTACATGTGTATTCAGGTAGACTTGTTTTTCGGAGATTATAATGTACGCTTTTTGTCAAGATTAAATCATGAAGATAAGATGGAGAAAGGCCGTTTATAATTTTATAAATAAATTTGAGTTTATGTCTTCTGCGTCTCTCTTTTAGCGTAATAAACCCGGTTTCTTTATATAACATTCTATGGCTGGTACCCTTTACAGCACCACATATGGACCTATAAGTGCATCCAGTTGTAGGTGCTAGTTGGTCTGTGCGGTTGTGTTGCACCACTGACTTGGGTGAACTACACCAAACTTACACGGCCAACGCATGGATAAACACTGGACCTCCAGGTTAGGAAGCCAAGGTCTTACTCACTGAACCACCCTGGCCCCCGTACTTTAAAGGAGCTGGATCTCTAATTCGATATTATTCATAATCGTTTATATTAAAAACACGAATTAGATATTGGTATAGGTCCATTTCAATCAATGATGTTTTTATCTTACTCAACAAATCAGTTCCCGAAGTCATGTTCTCTGTGATGTGGTTTCGAGCACCATGTGTAATAAAAAGACTTGACCAAAGCAAAACATCCCCTCAAAAAGTCAGTCCTGCAGTAATTACACATGGCTGAACCACAAACGACAAAAAAGGAAAATAGATAAACTTGCAGAGTCTTTTAACCAGGCGCAAACGACCGCTATTGGTTTTGGACTGCTGGCGTATTACGCCTGAAACCACATTTAAAATAGTATGTTAATGTAAATCAGTTTATATACCTTCATATCATATTGATAAGGTGCTTTCACTTTTCCATCTTGTTCAAACCTCAACCTGACATCGTCGAATTATCATTTACTTTATTTGAATTTTGTCACCTATAAGAAGCAGCAATCTGCGAAAGCAGCGCCATGAAAGTTTTCGTTCTGCGGTACATGCCAGAATTGATTTGACGTATATCTGAGTCACGACATACAATACACTAGCCATTGAATGAGGGATTAAGTCCTGAACATGAACAGTGTTAGTGTCAGTGTTTCGTTCAGTGAGTACTACTAGTATAACATTTTAAAATCAACCCAGTTTAGTAAATAGATCAATTTGAATTAAGTGCGTATAACAGTTTAAAGTCATCTCACTAGATGACCTGGCGCCTGGTACGTTCGGGCATTTTTATGCGCGAACTCTTAGGTTTTTTTTACTGGCATGCGCACAGGTACTATTTTTTTTTCTTTTAACAAGTACCCAAATCGGGGATTTCGTGCGGAGGTAGTTCGGAGGTAAACAGTCTATGAAGTACAACACTTGCCACTGTACCTGTGTATCGCTAATTATAAACCGAATGTGTGAAGACAGTTCATACATATCACTCAAAAATTTTTCAGTACAAACTCAGTTGATTCACGCTCGATTTGCTACTAAACAAACCCATCGGTTTATTTTCTCAACAGTGTGACCCGAAGTGACCGCGGATTTATTGACCTTGTATGAACTTATCCATAGCTATATCCTTACACCGAGAGAAATTATCTAGTCTCGGTGAAAATAACCATGGTCATCTGGTAGAAAATTACTTTTGTATTTTTTGGAACGGAAAACAGTGTTTTTAGAATCAAACTAACCTGCCGCACATGAGGAAGTCATTATACTAATAATAAAAGGCGAGACCTCTTTTTGCGGCGCAGGCTTATCACTGAGTAGTAAACCGTCCACAAACAATAATATAGGAAGCCTAGTGACGAGTGTAGTAAGTAGGCTATAGACTATAGGTTTGAGTCGAGATTACTCGCTTTCAGTTTACTCTGTTTTTGCGATAACCAATTATGTGAGAAATACCATACTGACATTCGGTTTTTAAAAGTTGTACGCGAACTAAATGCGTTTGTTAGATACTGACAGAGCAGCCCCGAGTCGAACAATCGCCGCCCGAGCTGTCTTCGTCAGCTAGTTTCACAATATCGTGCAATAGGTGTATTAATGTGATTTTTAGGTTTAACCCCGCAAACAATGCCAGAATAGTGTTTTCACTGCTTACAGAAAACTGAAATTTAAAAAAAAAAATTTTATGAGGGTGACCCTCCCACACACTCCCTATCGAGCTGCCGCTCGGTCTGCGCAGCCTCATGCCTGGCACATACTGTCAACATTGTATATTTTTCCGTTTCCGGCCTTCCCCCCCCCCCCACAATATATATTTCACGGCTACGTTGCGACGGTACCAGCATACCCAGTTGTTGACACCCATTACATCACTCCTGTCTAACAAATCATAAAGCTGTGGTGTTACGGTGGCGGCATAGTATTTCACCGTAACACCACAGCCACTCTAACCATTCATAATACATCTAACTATCCCTTTACAGCACTTCACTCCCTACACATTTCCCCTCGTCCTACTTTCCCAAACGTCAACAACACATCTCATACATCCAGTTCGCTGATTAACCCTTGTACCGCGTCTACTGGCTAGTATATGTATCTGTATTCTGTGAGTACTAGTTTAACAGTTTAAAGACATCCCGGCTTATTTAATAGATCAATCTGCTGTATTCGACGAGTACCGTGATGACAGTTTAAAATCATCTCAGTAGTTACTATATAAATCCATATTCGGATAGTACTAGTATAACAGTTTAAAATCAACTCAAATTAGTTAATAGTTCAATCTGTATTCGATGAGTACGAGTATAACAGTTAAAATAAACTCAGCCAATTAATATAATAATCTGTATTCAGTTTACAAAATTCCTTATTACATGCATCGGGGGGTGCAGTTTAAAAAGGCCACGCTATGCACATGTTTGGGATCTGGGTTGTTTTATGAAAGAGGGGGTATGTTATAGTGGATGATGGTTGTTGCGACAAGGGATCTAGAGTATAGGGTCGTGTTGTGATGAAGGACAGTGCTGTTTTATGGAGGATGTGGTTGTTTTGGAGGTGGTCGATCCTCTATGGCTGATAAACATAATGGACGTGGGTTGTTTATTAATAACTGGGAATTTTAAATTGCATTTACCGCAGATCGC